AAAATAATTACAGCAAAGTAGCATTTCTGTAAACTTTGGTGTTATGATTCTCCCTAAGCTCTTGAAACAGAACTAAACCTCCCTCCGTTGTCACACAACCTTCAGTTCTGCACCAAAGCTGCCCTTCTCTGTAATGATCCTGTCCCTGGCCCCCCCAAAATCACCCCCAGAACCTCTGACTGGACTTCTCCATCACACACAGGGAACACCTGCCCTGCAAACAGGTAAGCCCTGAACCTGCTCTTGGTACCATGTCCACAGTCTTCTGGGAGCAGAGAACAAAATCTAGGGTGGCATACGCTAAAAAAGGTTAATTTTAGCTTTGTGGCCCTAAAAAGGTGATATTTTCTATTCTTTAAGCGCTTCAGCAGAGCTGTGAAGGCGAAGACAAAGATTTTTAATGATTTGATGCAGGATCTTGTCTTTGCCCTTTGAAAAGCTGTGAAACAGCCACTGCACAGACATTGTCCCTTTCCCAAATCCAGTTGAATCCAGCACAAACAACTTACCAGCTGTTCTCCCCTCCAAGCAAGATCAGCCTGTCCAGAGCCAGAGTTTCAACAGCACCTCCTGAAAGCCAAATACTGGTTAAAACCAACAGGTCTATGCAACATCCCCTTTCTGCCCACAGTGCCTCTAACTGCCAGAGGGCAGGGTTAGGGGGGATATTGGGAAGAGATTCTCCCCTGTGAGGGTGGGGAGGCCCTGGCACAGGTTGCCCAGAGAAGCTGTGGCTGCCCCTGGATCCCTGGAAGTGTCCAAGGCCAGGTTGGATGGGGCTGGGAGCAGGGTTGGAGTTGCTCCTGCTGGGTGATAGTGAAAGGATCAATACAGTTTTATCCTGTAAAGAGCAACAATCATTGCCAGAAAGATAAACTACAACAATCATTGCCAGAAAGACAAACTCCACTCCAGCTGTGCCACCCTGAAAGCCTCGCTTTTGTGACGCTACGAGTGAATTACCCAATTCTGCTCATGTTGTTGCTACACTATTGATCCAGCTCCCTGCTACAGCTTTATCATGTGATCAGCTGGGATCAGTGCTCCCACTCCACACAGGGAAATGACTGAAACTCTCCTCTGCCAGTAATAAAGAAAAAAGGCACTACTCCTCAGTCCTCATCCGATGGGCTTTTGAGCACCAGCTGCCTTCAAAATTCATCTGAGAAACTGCACCTTCTTTGGGTTTATCAGACCTTGAGGTTTATCAATACTTTGTAATAAATGTAAGTCTTTCACAGGCTATAAACCATGAGACAGTCAATAGTAACTTGGAAACACAGAAACGGTTTGGGTTGGAAGGGACCTGAAAGCTCACCCATTCCCACCCCCTGCCATGGGCAGGAACACCTCCCACTAGCCCAGGTTGCTCCAAGCCCCGTCCAACCTGGCCTTGGACACTTCCAGGGATCCAGGGGCAGCCACAGCTTCTCCGGGCAACCTGTGCCAGGGCCTCCCCACCCTCACAGAGAAGAATTCCTTCCCAATATCCCATCTAACCCTGCCCTTTGGCAGTGGGAAGCCATTCCCCCTTGTCCTGGCACTCCAGGCCCATGGAAATAGTCTCTCTCCATGTTTCTTGCCAGCCCCTTCAGGCCCTGGAAGGCCACAGTTGGGTCACCCCAACGCTTCTCCTCTCCAGGCTGAACAATCCCAACTCTCCCAGCCTTTCCTCCCAGCAGAGCTGCTCCAGCCCTCGGATCCTCTTGGGGCCTCCTCTGGACTGGCTCCAGCAGCTCCATGTCCTTGCTGGGCTGTTCCCAGGGCTGGAGCAGCTCTGCAGGGGGGTCTCCCCTGAGGGGCAGAGGGGCAGAATCCCCCCCTGCCCTGCTGCCCACGCTGGGGGATCAGCCCAGGGCACGGGGGGTTTCTGGGCCGGGGCAGGTCCAGCCTCTGCCCCACCAGCACCCCCAGGGCCTTCTGCCTGGGCTGCTCCATCTGCTCATCCCCAGTCTGGATTGACCCCGGGGGTTCTCCTGACCCAGGGGCAGCACCAGCACTTGGCCTTGTTAAACTTCCTGAGATTCCCAGGGGCCGCTGCTCGAGCTTGTCCAGGTCCCCCTGGATGGCCCCGTCCTTCAGGTGTGTCTTCAAGTCCCCATTTCTTCGTGCAGCATTTGGGGGGTCAGCAGGTTGTGACTGGTCCAAAACAGCCCGTTCCCACTATGTGTTTGTCCACCATAGAAGCTGAAATTTGTCTCAGGATGGTGTTGTTCTCCCACTGTTAAAAATTCACTGTTTTTTTTTCCCCAAGCACTTTTCCATTTTGCTGACTGGGCAAGTTTTCCAGCTACATGAGCAGGTTCTGGAAGGATTCAGCCCGTGGTGGGGGGATGCTGAAGGAATGTGCTGGGACATCTCTGGCAGCAGAAGGCACCAAGACAGAGACAAATGTCACCTTCCACCACCCCACTGTCCTTGCCCTCACACCAAATCCTGGGTGCAAGGACTACTCACCATTAATACAGAAATATTTTAAGCTTCCCAACAGGTCCCTGATAGAACTGTGGGGCTTTATAGTCTTGCCTATTGTAGTATATACAGAAAGGAGAAACCAAAATTATTTCTATTTTCCACCTGCCTCTCCTTGTCCTGCCTCCCAGTGGGAATTACACAGCCCTACAAATGGTCATTGGAATCCTCCTCCCAGTGAAAACGTTAGCAGGTGCTGTGCTAAACCTCAAAATCCTCAGTGCCTGCTTGGAGGAGTGTCCCAATTAAATCAATGGCAGAGTTGATGATTATCACCTTGATCCATCAGCCAGCGAGCAGTTCTGCCACCCAGGGGAAGCTGCTCGTGCTTTGCCTCAGCTTGACAAATTTCAGTGGTTAAATAGCTGTAAATTATATCCCCAGACACAGATCTGTTATTCCACTTACTGTATCCAAAGCCAGTGCTGATGCTTGGCTTCCCAAAGGGGGACAGCTGGAGTGACTTTTTTGACTGGATCACTCTGTCAGCGTGCCATCCCCAGAAAGCAAAGCTGGGAGTTCTGTATTAATTTACAGGATTACATCCACAGAAAATAAAAAATAAAAAAAAAAATACGCCCACCCCCTCCCACCCACACATGAAAGATTTTACAAAGCCAACAGTGCTTTGGAAAGTTTAGCTACAAGCAAGCTAAAACTTTCGATAACACAGCCCCCCACTGCTGAAAAAGTGGAATTTTTTTATGCTCTTTGCATTGTGGGAAAGGTTCTGAGTGCTTGGACAGCACAAAGGAGATGGTGTTGAGGGGTTTTGCCTCTGAGAAGCACGGACAGCACTACTGACCACCAGTGTCCAGCCTGAGGATCCTTCTCAGAGCTACAGCTGGTAGAGTTCTGAGTCTCTAGAAATAAAGAAACAACTTGGTTTTCCCTCAGAAAATTGAGAGAAAATGTTTCTCTCCAAAGCACACTGAAATATCGGTAAGAACAGAACTGACAGACTCTGCAACGAAAATCAGGGAGTGAAATAATAACAGTATCTTAAACAGGATTAAAATAGAACATTTTACTAGTTATTTCAAAGAATAGATTTTTTTTTCTTTCTTCCATCAGTCTTATGTGTATGTCCAGCCTCCAGCTAAATTCCAAACAGCTGTTTTTTTTGTTAGGTACCAAGTGCAAATATGACAAGATAAAAGAGTTAAGAAAAAGAAATACCCGGTGGTTTTTTTTTTTTTTCCCTTGTGTGTGATAGGCTACATTGCATTTCTCATGCCTGAAAACAAGCACCATTGCTCAAAATATTTGGTCAGAAACCTCAGCTCGAGAAGGAGGTATTTGACAGAAAGGTCACGTTTACATCGGCAGAACATGCGAACGGTTCCTAAAGACACACGTCCCGAGGGGTCTGGAGGAGGAGAACCTGTGGAAAAGGGGCAGCAAACACGAGCACAGCAGCACAAGTCCATTTCCTGCCAGAGCAGAACCATCCCCACCCACATCTTGTGGTGAAGCTTCAGCTGTAGAACAGGGGAAGAAGGATGACACCACCAATCACTTCCTTACTGATTGCACGTGTCGACTCTTCCAATCTTTCCAGAACAGTCCATATGATTCCCGCAGCTAGTTTGATCTTATGCTGAAAAAAAGTTGGCACAACACAACAGGACACTTTTTCTGTCTTATATCACACTGGAGAAGAAATACTTTGCTCTGTATCAATGCCTTTTGGGTGTTGGTGACTACAAACAGGGGCATTTCTCAGCTCCCTGTTCAAGCTGTGACACAACAACTCGTTACTCTGAGGTACAAACAGAAATCAGAAGCACGTGCCCAAATTTATGGTGTGTATTTTCCAAGTAATGTGCACTGAAAGTTTGGGAAATGATTGTGTGTGTGTGTGTGTTCTGACACCCTTTGCCCTTCACAGATCTATCTGTGCATATTACCCTCACAAAATATTCCCTTTTTATCCTCTTCCCCCTGCCATCCATTTGTCTTTTCAGCAGGTTTATGTTCACCACTATGGGAGTGGAATGGTGATTGCACCGCTCAACCCAACAGCCAGCTGGGCCTGGAAATGGATCCATCCCCTTCCTATTAATTACTCTTTAATGCCTACTTCTATCACCCAGGCTCGTGTATCATCCCGGCTTATTTCGTGGGAATATAGCCATAGGATGACAATTACTGCTGGAGCATAAAAACTGCAGCTAAAGACCATAGAAAGAAGCAAACAGAACTGATGTGGGAAGAGATGGAAAGATGAAAAATTGACTGGAGAAGAAAATTGAAACGAGCTCATTTACAGAAGAAAATGAACAAACCATGGCCAGGTAGCTCTGAATATGATTAATTGCTACACATCTCCTTCCTCTTTGCAATTTTTATCTGATTCCATTTTCTATTCTACTTTTCTACATGGAAAGTGCTGTAATTTCAGGAACTCTGATTCCACACATTTTCCAGCTGGGCACTGAGCGAGGTGCTCTGTTTGCATGAACTGCTCTACCCCTATCGACTCTGGAATTGTTACTCAAATTTAAGCCAGCCGAGGATTTGCTCCATTGACTTTCATGGATTTATTTTTAATTTATTACTCTGAGTTCAGAGTGCAGAGCTCTGGATAATAAATCTCGAACATAAATAGACAATTTCCAAATCTAAACAGTATAGCCACAAGTACCATACAGAAAAACAAGCTAGGCAGGTATAGAACTGTCTGAAAAGTGAACCAAATGGTGCTGTGCATTTATTAGTAGTTTACTGTTTATTAAAACAAGAAATCCGGATCCAAAAGAACTCATTAATTTAAACCAAGGATTGTTTAGTGAAATGGGAGCCTGTCAAAAGAGTTGGTGGGGAGGACAATTATTCGGTACAAATGTGAGTGCAAATTGTGTTTGGAGAGTTTAAAGCGTGCCGTTTGTAGACAACGGATGTGCACAACACAAACCTCGGACATCTCCCCTGGGTGACAATAAAAAGCGCAGTTTATTATAAACCGAAGTAAAAATGAAAATAAAAAAAGGAACTAAAATCACAGTTTCGTCATTGGTATGTGAAGGTTGTTCCAAGGGCCCATCCAGAGCTCCTCCTCGTCTGACTGTGTGTGTTCACTGTGCGACTCCAAGGGCTCTTTGACATCCTCGTGGTCAACAACTGATTCCTGCTCTTCTGTGCTTTTCATTTTGGACCCCCCGGGCTTTGTTACTATATTTTCGGCCCCTATAGTAGAGGCAGCAAAGGAGACACTGCAAGGTCTTGTGTTCATTTTGTCACTGGGAGCAGGTCCCTTTGACAACGTGTTCAGTGGGACGCTCTCCTCGTGCGTCACCGCCAGCTTGTCCAGTTTCTTGAACTGTTTCCCCAGCCTCGCCGGAGACGTGGCTTTTAAGTTATTGCCGAGGCAGACGCGCCGGGTCCTGACCACGGAGCCGTTCTGGGCGATGTAGATGTTCCCGTTGACGTTGGGCTGCACGCTGGGGTTGCTGAGCCGGTTCCTCTGGCCCGAGTCGGGAGCGCTGTCCTCTCCCGTGGAGCTGGTCTCGTACTCCGGGTCCACTATCAACTTGATCCTTTTCTTTTTGGCCCACTGTTTGATGAGAAACAGAAAAGTCGTTACATCTCTCCCCTGCCACTTCTTACATTTCCCTGCCCTTTTTCTATCTGTTAATTAATTAATAACTCATATAGATTTTTCCTAACTCGGTCTGTGCACCTTGGGCTGCGCACGGGAACTGGAAGGCGCTGAGGAGGAAGCTGCTGTGGAGGCAACACTTTCAAGAAACCACTCTAATGTGTAAGTTCTGGGAAGGCCTTAGAAGTTTTCTTCCATGACTCCATTGTGGATTCAGTGCAGAAATGGCACTGAGCAGCTCTGCTTTATATGCACAACACATCGAGCAGAGAAAAGCTCGGGACCTCCACAAGGGAAATTCTCAGGCACGACGTCGGCAAAATTGGCTGGCTATAAAAAGAAGGGCTCAATATAAGGCTCTGTGCCAGTTCCAGTCTGGTGGAAATAATGGAGATGCTTGGCTATTAAATGGAAAATGGTGGAGAAACAAGACTTCAGATTTTATCTGATTTATATATTTTTTTTTTAAGAATTAATGCAAACAATTTCCACGCTGCTGAGACTTTGTACTAATAGTGATTACCACAGAGTGATTACACAAACCCCACTACTTGTTTTAATTATAATTGATCTTTTTAAAATAAATGTCTCCTTGCAGTACACTGAAACGAGCTCCTACCCTTCCTGAATTAATGATTCAAACACTATCAGCAGATACCATCAGTTAACTCCCACTGCAAAACACACATGAACCTGAAAAATGACAGCTTTTAGAGAAAGAAAATCATGCAAGGCACAAAGGGGTGGTGATTATTCTTAAGCTTTTGAGAAGTCACACTCGGTACAAATTGGGACTCTGATGCCTATTCCCATTGTTCCTGGCAAAGACATACAATTTTCTTCTGGATGAAAAGACTGCCTGGTTTAAACAGGAGTCCTGCTGAAACACCCTGTGCAGCTACACCGTTGTGCTTTATGGGAATGCAGAGGAGCAGGCAAGTGATCCTGAATCCAGTTCAACTAGATGTTTAAATAAAATGAAATGAAATCACTGTACTGTTAGGCAGGAAGGGCAGAAGTCGGGAAATGTGATCCACTTCCTTTCCTGACCCAGCTCACTGGGTGCCCCTCCCTCTGCACCCCTGTCCCGTGCATCACTGGTGTTTGCAACCCGAATCCCACGATCCAGAACCAGTTCAATCCCAGCTCTCCCAGTTACACTCTGCAGTTTTGGGAGCCTTTCTTTGCTGCAGTTTCCCTTGTCCTGCCTGCAAACAGGGCTGACGTTGCCAGCAGAGAACTCACCTGAAGATGAGCAAATGTATAGTAGGGGATCGTGAGGTGAAAATATGTGTGATTTTAAAATTTGTTCATCCTCATCATTCCAGTTCTCCCCTGAATCCCATGTTTTGCCCCACTTCCTTCCTGCAGTGTTCCCTTTTGTGTCAGACCCATGCACGAACACAGGGTTTGTGCCCTCAGGTTCGGTGAGCTCTGTCACAGCCACTGCAGAACACGACCTTCCTTTGCTCCGTGATGTGTGTGATGCAAAAGGAATAAACCTAAGAATCATCACAATGCATCTTCATCTATATTATGGAAATCAGCAGGAAAATAAAGCACTTCTTCCTGCCATTGCTCCAGGGAAGTTAATCTTTATCCACCGTGAATCACTAAGTGTTTATATATAGTGTGTGTGTGTATATATATATATATATATCTATCTAAAACATGTATATTCCTCTCAGTTTGGTTTTCTACGGTTCCATCCTTAAGACAGTCAAAAGCTGAATCAATAAGCTTTGCCCTTTTCTCTTTGGCTATCTCTAGTCAGCAGAAAGACCACACAGAAGGCACAGCAAACAAACCCACTCCTCACTGCAAACCATGCACCTACTGTCACTCTTCTTTAGAAGGATGTGGAATCCCCTGCAGCCTCTGACTCCGTGACTCCAGTCTCCAGGCTCTCACCTGACTGAGACTGACTCTGTTCCTGGGACACCTTTTTTCCCTTTTTCACTCTTTTCACATTGGGACCTTTGGAAATCCCACTGATTTCACTTTCTAGGCCAGAAGATTCGTTCTTACTGAGAGTTTCCTCCCTGTCACTACCATCTGTGTCAGCCTCTTCTGCGCTCTCCTCCTCGCTCTCCTCACCACTGACAGCTGATTTCCCTTTCTTGCCCTCTCCAGGTTTTGCAGATGTTTTAGAAGCTGCCTTGCTTGCACTATCTGCTGTCTCATCTGCTTCTTCCTCTTCTTCTGACACCTCTTCTATGGTGTCTTCTATCCCGACGCTGGCGGAGGAGGTTTTGCTCTTGTAGCTGGATCCTGAAGTTTTCCTGTAGCTCGTGTCCCTGTCACTGCCTGATGCAGTAGAGCCGCTGGATTTCTGGCTGGAGCGTCTTGCTCTGCCATGAGAGCTCCTTCCCCTGCTTTTGATACTGGACATATCAGTGCTTCTGATGCTGCTGGACTCGCTGGTCCCTGATCTGCTGTAGGAACTTCGTGTGGATGAGCTCTTTGACAGGCTACTATCCTCATCGCTGTCCGAGTCTTCCTCGTCATCGTCCTCTTCAGATGAGTCCTCCTCCGATTCACTGCTGGAGCTGGACTCAGAGTCGTCCTCAGAATCCCCCAAATCCTGCCCAGTTTCTTCATCCGAGTCCACGGTGCTTTCTGTGGCTTCATCTTGGTCCAGAGTTATTTTCAAGTAGTCTTTGTCTTCCGACTCCGAGCCGGAGCTGCTGCTCTTCTCAGATGACTCATCTGAGGTGTGTCTCCTTCTCTTCTTCTTCTTCTCATAGTCACTGTCCTCCTGCTCACTCTCTGCTGTGATACTTATTGAAACTCCTGATTTTGCTTCCTCTCTTTCAGACTCCTCCTCTCTACGTGCCAAATCCTTGCCAAGGGGCTCCTGAAGTTTCCTGGAGACGCTGATGCGCTTTAACACATGATTTAGTTTCCTCATGGAAGGTCTGTCATCTGTGGATTTCTGGAAGTAGCTTCCCCTGATGATCATGCTTTTGTCTCCGTCTGCTTGGCGAGCCGACATCAGCTTGGCATAGCTGGAATCTTTCCTACTGCCCTTCACTTTCTGCAGGATCATCGGGAATATCTTTGCTTTCTTCCATCGGGAACGAGCGGACTCGGCTCTTCCCACCGGTTTGTGAGCACTGACTGCTACACGACTCACATGCATCACTGCTTTCAGTCTCCTTTTGCCCTGGCTGGTCCTGTACGGTCCAGGACCACGCCTTGGGTCCATCCCACCACCTAAAGGTCTAGCTGCTATTTGAGCCCCTGCTGCCTGGCTTATCCCTCTGCTCGGAGCACCTCTTACTTGACTCATCCCCTGCAAATCACGAAAATTAATTGATTACCATCTGAAAGACAGTTATAGCAAAAGCCTGTACCCTAAAATAAGTCAGTAGGAACAAACACACCATTTTTTTCCCAGCAGCAAAACTAACTAACTTACCTGTTACAGAATGGGTTTTTTTACCAAAGTTATGAGGAGAGTTTTACTTGTAGAATAGGCTGCAAGTGCACAACTAACTTACTCTGCAACAGGGAAAAATACTGGCTCAGGAATGTTATTTCTTCTCATTTAATAGTGGATTAAGAGTCTAGGATTCATGAAAATTAGATTATTTTTTTAAAGGAATCTTTACTTCCACTTTCATCTTGTTGCCACTGACATTTCAAATTTTTTTTACATTCAGTTGTGAAATTTATGATAATGAGTTCAGGTACTGCTTTGCTCAGAGGAAAGTCATCAGTTTTAGGTGGAATATTAGTATCAGAATAATTGAAACACAGAATGGTTTGGGTTGGACCTCAAAGATCATCCAGTTCCACTAGCCCAGGTTGCTCCAAGCCCCGTCCAACGTGGCCTTGGACACTTCCAGGGATCCAGGGGCAGCCACAGCTTCTCTGGGCAACCTGTGCCAGGGCCTCCCCACCCTCACAGCCAACAATTCCTTCCCAATATCCAACCTAAATTTCCCCTCTGTCATTTTGAAGCCATTCCCCCTTGTCCTGTCACTCCAGTTCCTGATGAACAGTCCCTCTCCAGCTTCCCTGTAGCCCCTTCACACATCAGAAGGTCCCCTCATTTGGTTAACGATATAAAATGGAATTACCTAAGGCTACGTGGATTTTTCTTTGAACTGAAAATCTACATTGAGGGAAAAAAACAGATGTGGGTATTCAAAGAAACTTGGCAATTCCTTTCTGTTTCTAGGAAAAGGGAAAGAGGTGCTGACACAAACTTTTAGGGATCGTCAGAAAGGCAGACAACGCTCAGCATAGAAGAGACACTTATCTGGTCTGTGAGGAACGTTGGTCTAATCAATAATAACACACATCTGACAAGGTTTGGTGGTGCTTCATCCTGCTGCAGAGGCAGGCTCAGCACACCAGAGCCTCTCACCTCTTCAGCTGTGGGTCCATGGGGACTGTAGTAGTAGCCGCCGTCGCTCTCCACCACCACCTCCCCGTACTCGTCGTACATCCCCGCCGGGGACAGCAGCCGGCGGCGGCTCCCGTACTGCGGCAGCTCGTACCTGCCAGGGACACCTCGTGAGCACCAGCACAGCCATGTCCCACCACACAGCAAGAAATCACACATCACAGAACCAGCTCAGCTGGAAGGGACCCACGAGGATCATCCAGTCCAACCCTCAGCCCTGCACAGCCCCATCCCCAAGAGTCACCCCCTGTGCCCCAGAGGATCATCCAAACCCTCCTGGAGCTCTGGCAGCCTTGGGGCTGTGCCCACTGCCCTGGGGAGCCTGGTCAGTGCCCAACCAGCCTCTGGGGGAAGAACCTTTCCCTGAGATCCAACCTGAGCCTGCCCTGACACAGCTCCAGCTGTTCCCTGGGTCCTGTCCCTGGTCCCCCCAGAGCAGAGCTCAGTCCCTGCCCCTCCTCTGCCCCTGCCCAGGGAGTTGGAACTGCAGTGAGGTCTCCCCTCAGTCTCCTCTGCTCCAGTTGAAAACACCAAGTGCCCTCAGTGTCCTCACACAGCTTCCAATCAAGGCCCTTCCCCATCCTTGTTGCCTCCTCTGGACACTCTCTAATGGCTCAATATCTTTCTTATATTGGGGTGCCCCAACCTGCCCCAATATTTGAGGTGAGGCCGCCCCAGGTCAGAGCAGAGCGGGACAATCCCCTCCCTGGCCTGGCTGTCGATGTGCACACGCTCACATCCCAAAGGGATGAAAATTTCTCTTCTCTCCTTTCTCTCTACCTTGAGAAGATAATTATTCCTTTTTCCTTAGTAGCAACACACTCCCAAACCTCTTTTTATTCCAACTGGCCACAAGTTGTTATGACCAGACCTGAATGGCGAGGTCTCTGGGATCAGTCAAGAACCCCCCAAGTGCAATGACCTTCCTTCCATCCACCTGATTTCTTGGGGGATCTTTTTTATAACTGTGGAATGAAAAAGCAGGTCCCCTGGGATCAGTTCTGGAGAATCCCTTGTAAGGCCAGCACCCCTGAGGTGCTTGCAGTCAGATGGGCTTTATCAGAACAAGGCAGGATGGTGTTTTTCGAGGGAAATTTAAAAGGCCAGATGCTGGCTGGGAACAGAGAGCAGAGAGGATTAATCCCTGAACTCAGAAGGGGAAGAGGTGATGGGAATTAATCTCCAAGACAGCAGAAACACACGAAATAACCAAAGCACAAATGTAAAAGCAGCGTGATAGATGGGAGCACGCTCTGCAAGTGGAATAATGAGATTGCTAAAGAAGCAAGGAGTTATCAAACACCCCCTTAACTTCTGGAAAGAGTTTTCTTGTCAGTGCCTGCTTTTGTGGACACAAAGATTAAAGTAATCCTGAGGTGAAGGAAAGCCTCCTGATAATAATAAACATCACCAGCCTGGAAAAGCAGCATTTTCAGAAATAAATAGGGAAAATGAAAATATACCCATGCTCATAACTGTAGTAATCTTGCCCATAGTATTCCTGCCCTGGATCAATTCCAGACTCCATACTCAGCTCCTGTAAAAGAGAAACACTGAGTGAGTGCAAACAGTCAAACACAGCGATGTCTGATGAAAAAGGCACAAATGCAATTACCAATATTATTATTACTTATGATGTAATTACTTCTAAAGACTGCACAAACCATCCCTATTCTGTATCACACGATAGCAACATCTCCCATTTGCTCTACTGCTTATTGTGGAAACAACTCTGGGTCTGAAAGGTTTGAAACAGAAAGGTTTGTAATCCAGAGCTGCCTTCGCCCTTCCCAGCAGCGCGTTGATGCTTCCAGTCCCTCAGCAGGGCAACTGCTGAGCTCAGCTCCAGGGACAGGAATCAGTGAGCAGCTGACTGACATCGGAAAAAAATCAGACTGCAGTGGGAGAGCAAGGAAATTTCTGTGTCTGTAAATGTGGAACTGGGAAAGGTTTCAGTCTGCGTCATGAAGTCCGTGGCAGTCACTGAAAGATGCTCATGGGGAAAACCACAGAATCCCAGAGTGCTTTGGGTTGGAAGGGACAGTAAAGCTCATCCAGTTCCAACCCCCTGCCATGGGCAGGGACACCTTCCACTAGCCCAGGTTGCTCCAAGCCCCGTCCAACCTGGCCTTGAAAATACCAAGATGCAGTAAATTTAGGATATTTAATTAAAATAACATAAATAGAGTTACAATGCCAGAGCTTTCCTTTTTCTCTAAGAGCCAGGGGGAAAAATTACCTGAGACAGACAGGTTTTTATCAGGAAATGATGTAAAAGACATTTAAAAACTTAGAAAATAATGAAAAATGGTGATACCTCTGGTCTGAGAAGAGAAGGTCTCAGCAACTGCTGTTGCTACAAAAGAAAATGAGAAAGGGGTTAATTAGGCAGTAACAATTACAGTGCAGGTCTTTGGTGCTTAAGAGTGGAAATAAATGCTAAAACCATGGGTCCTTCAGAGGTTTTTTTTATGGCAGTCACTGGATCCTCCCTGTGAGAACACTGCCAAGCACCTCATGTACTAAAATCCCTTTACAGTTCACCATTTCCTTTGCCTAATATAAACTCAAAATCCCCAGTTTATGGGGTGATTCTCTAAGATATTTAACTCAAGGACTTCTATCAGAGACCAAGAGGACTAAATTCTGTAACTGAATTAAGAGACACAAACCAGCTCTGCAAAGGGAGGAAGAAAATCAGTAAATATCAACCTTTATGACAGAAATGTATTTTTGGGGATCTTGCCAATTATTAAATGAGATTGTTCTGAAGGAAACTCTTCTCTCTGTTATTCATTGCTGAAGAAAATGCTGCTGCAAGAGCAACAGAGCCCACTGAGCTGCAGGGGAGGTGTGAGTAGCCCAGTTCCTGACTCTTAGAAGAGGATTAGGTGTGACTTTGGAAAACACAGCAAGTGTGCAGGGAATTCCTTGGGAAACTGCTTCTGGCACCTTGTTAAACAGCAATCTTCCAGCCTGGATGTCACACCTGTGCCATGTGGGATATCAGCCCCCAGGGAATTTACGTCTCATCAATTTTTTGATTCACTTTATATTTCTGGCATCCAAAGCATTCAGTTGCCAGGAGTTTCCCAACAGTGAATCATGGAATGGTTTGGGTTGGGAAGGGACCTTAAAGATCATCTCGTTCCACCCCCTGCTATGGGCAGGGACACCTCCCACTAGCCCAGGTTGCTCTAAGCCCCGTCCAACCTGGTCTTGGACACTTCCAGGGATCCAGAAGCAGCCACAGCTTCTCTGGGCAACCTGGGCCAGGGCCTCCCCACCCTCACAGCCAACAATTCCTTTCCAATATCCAACCTAAATTTCCCCTCTGTCAGTTTGAACCCATTCCCCCTTGTCCTGTCCCTCCAGTTCCAATGAACAGCCCCTCTCCAGCTTCCCTGTAGCCCCTTCAGACCCTGGAAGGTGCTGTGAGGTCTCCACACAACCTTCTCCTCTCCAGGCTGAACATTCCCAGCTCTCCCAGCCTGACTCCACAGGGGAGGTGCTCCAGTCCCCTCAGCAACTTGGTGGCCTCCTCTGGACTTGCTCCAACAATTCCATGTCCTTGTGATGCTGGGACACCAGAACTGTGCACAGTGACCCAGGTGGGGCCTCACCAGGGCAGAGCACAGGGGGAGAATCACCTCCCTGGACCTGCTGCCCATGCTCAGACTGTGTGGGACAATCACGTTGCTGTAATGAATATTTTAAAGGTAATCAGGTGCAGCCTCACCTCTTGCTGTGCATATCCTCGCCTAGAAGTCAGAAAAAGAAAAAAAAACAGTTAGTAGAATTCTGTGAACCTGCACAAAGATGCACATGGCCATTCTTGCTGGGGAGAGGTGAAAAGAGAATGCAATTAGAACTGGCATGAAAAGAAATCCGTATCTATAATACCAAATACGTTTTTCTTTGGATTGGCTCTGGCCACAGGGATCGTTGCATGAGAAAGGCTGGGAAGCTTTGGGAGCTTTCCTTGCTTTAGATCACAAAGGGAAACAGGGGGGTTGGGAGGTCCTGCCCTTCCCTGCTGTCCCAGAGACCTACAGAGACCATCCCCAGGGAGACTCTGTTACCTCCCACATCTGTTCAGGCAGTGAAACAACTTCTCTTCTACTCCTGGACTTCCCTCAGGACTTGCTGGGAATTGCCCTGCAGCTTCTATTACTAATTCCTTGTACCAACATTGTTATTAAAATTACTCACTTCCTAACATTTGCTCAGCAGGGGGGAATTAAATGTTTTTGGGTTTTTTTCTGCTATCTTTTTTTTTTTTCCTGCAGTTTTGCCACAGGCTTTGTGCTTCTGATCTTATTGGGAATTTGTTGTTTTAATTCATTTTCTTGGAGCCATTCCTGGGCATGACAAATGCACTTATGTCTATCAAGTTCTCTATTTTCACATTTTGTGTCGGAAAATTAGAATTGTTTTGGTCTTTTAGGCCTTGGCATTACTCTTAAGGATAAGGCTGGATTATTTTTATTACATTTCTTAAGAAGGAAAGGGTAAATGCTCAGATTTATGTTAGGCTTAGCCTAGTACACAAACAGCACTCTAGGGGAAGTCTCTAATTACACCGAGTAACTAATAAAGAACAGAGTAGAAGTCCTTTTAATTCTTTAATATCACCATCTCTGAAGTTTCCTACTAATATTCAGCACATGGAATTGATTATCAGCATTAAATTAATGCTGTCACCTATATAATATAAAACTAATGAACAACTGAAATGAAGATTTATCATCAGAAGATGATCTGTGGCTTTTCAAAGCCCACTTGAGGAACGCTGTATTTAGTTTCTATATTGCCTACAACAATCTTCAGAGAAAGAAGGTCTGAGGAGAAGCTTATTACTCTTAATTGCTCTCAGATAGTCATTATATTGCAGATTAAAAGCATAATATAAGTAATTCTAATTAAATTTGGAAATCAGCTTTCTTAAAAACTGCACCACACTGGGTTTTGAGATGCTGATACTTCTCTAAGAGTTTTGTGTGGCCACGATTAGGAGGAAAAAAAAAATGCTCAAAAGACATAAAATAGCCTTTCACTCAATACAGCACAAGGATCTACTGTGACAGAAAGGCAAAGGTCAAAACAACACCATCTGTTTCCAGGAAGGAATTAAAGCTCTCCACAGAGGGAGGAATTGCTTCTGGATAAACACTATCAGCCAGACTTCCCCACAGTCAGTCAGAGAGAAATGTTCAGTGGGAAGTGGGAAGCAAGGCCATGGTGCCTGTAAGGATGTAGGATAATAGGACAGTGCTGGTACTCAGTATGAGAGAGAAACAAGAATGAATTCACCTGTATAAATGTGCCAACCTTTCGCTCCTAAAAATGGTTAAAGAACCATGATTTGCCTAAAGCAACATTTCCCCCATTCCTGGGACCCCAGCAGGCCTTTCCTATTTCATAACGAAAAAATCACAACCCCCAAACACTACTGATGTTACTCAGAGGAGACAGCTACTTATCCATTTGCCCTGCCTCTTAAAAGGGAGGTTTCCTGCAGTTCACAGCTGGAACTGAGGTAGAACAGCTCTGGAAGGGGGGTGAGTAGGCTCACACCGTGGCTCCATTCCAGCTCTGCAGGGAAGAGCTTCCCACTGATGGCACCTCTGCTCCTGCTCAGACCTTGGCCCTGTCACGCTGATGATTAAAGGATAAGAGGTATATCCAGGGTCATGTTGGACCCTAATTGACCAAATCAGACAAGCTAATAAGGGGTAAATTATACATATAAATGTATATAATTATATATTCTCAACTTGTTACCATCTACTATATTGGTTCTAATACTCTGTAGAGCTGCAGTACTGTGGAATCCTGGAATGGGTTGGGTTGGAAGGGAACTTAAAGATCATCTCATTCCACCCCCTGCTATGGGCAGGGACACCTCCCACTAGCCCAGGTTGCTCCAAGCCCCCTCCAACCTGGCCTTGGACACTTCCAGGGATCCAGGGGCAGCCACAACTTCTCTGGGCAACCTGTGCCAGGGCCTCCCCACCCTCCCAGGGAACAATTCCTTCCCAACATCTAATCTAAAACTCTCCTCTTCTGGTTGAAAACCATTCCCCTTTCAGCACCCAGACACCTCAGCGGGGCAGAGCTTCCCTGGTACAGCTTCTTTCCTGGTCTAACAGAATTATTTTTTAACAAGGGCTATTAAAAAAAACCAAAAAACCAACCAACCAAAAAACAACCACAACAGGAGAACAAAGGTTGCATCATATGGAAATAAAACTAGTTTTTGTAAACTTTGCAACTTAACTTTCCAGAATGAGAAAGTAGGTGTTCCTCATCAGTGAAGAGCTGATTGCCATGACCCCCTCCCAGACTCTTCTAATACAGTGAAATACATGTTTAAAATGGAGCTCCTGTGTGATGTCCACTCTTTGTGCTTAGGGAACACCCCAAATAATTGTAGCCATATAAAACCTTTGTGGGGTTTATACTGTGGATGACTAAACACCTGCACTTTTGCTGCACACCACAAAACGAGGCCCTATTTGTCTAATATTTCACCAGTGATGTAATGATCTGCTCAACAGCATCTGTTAGGGGTCTGTGAGCTCTAAAGTGGGGTTTGGGTACTTAAATTCAATTTTTCGGGTTGATGCACCCTGAATGTGTGTGGTCCAATAATTCCTCATGCTCATCTCTGCACATCCTATAAATGAGAGAGATTCTCTCCCAGCAAAAACAAGGTGATGAGGACAATCCTTCCCCTCACACATTCAGCTACCACACATACCTTGCAACTACAGTCTGCCCAACAGGAGGACTGTAAAGAAAAATTCTAATGTATCAGCTGGGATGTAATTCATGGAGTTTGGCTCTGGGACAAAGAAAGAGAAACTACCTTCAGCAGTTTGAGCCTGAGGCCTCCACACATGTCCTAACTGCAGATTTAAAACAAACAAACAAGAGACAAGAGACAAAGCCAAGCACCATGGAAATGCTGAGTGGCTCTAAGCAGTCTGAGAAAGAATTCATTACCTTTTTGCTCAGAAGTACGACGTTTGTTAGTGAACTGGGGGTTTAGTTTTGCTCCTTTATGTCATTGGCTTTCCCAATGTGTTTTTTAGAAGTCGTCATGTTAAATGCAAATATTTTAGATTTTGACAAAGGACTAAAAGAAAAATTGCAAGTTGGACCAAACATTCAAATGCCCAAACTGCTTTTACTTACCTTTTTTTTTTTTCTCAAGAGACAAGCTAATTTATTTATCTATATAATTATAATTGACATCTTTAATGTAAAGATCTGATTTAGATGACTGTGAGCAAAAAAGCCAGTAAGTAAATCCATATTCCATGGATTTTTACAAGTACTTGGTGACACTAATCAGAGTGACTTTATTACAATTTCAGGTGAGATGTTTCAGCTGAAAAGCTCACGAGAGTGAACCTTCAAGGGAGACGTCAACAACATGCACATGCAAAATAAAAAACAAACCGACAAATTGTTTGTACACGAAAGGAATTTACAAAATAAAAACTTTCAACATGCAGTTACAATGTAAAAAAAAAAAAACGAAATGGAAGGCAGAACATGGGTAACAGGAGGGGAGACAGCCAGGTTTGCTGAGAAATCAAGACAAAGCCCTTCTTCTGACTGGAGCTGCCACAAAGCGTGTGAGCGGAGTGTCATCGCTCGTGGAATACCAAGATGCAGCACGGAATTACAGAATGCTTGGAAGGGATCTTAAAGATCAGCTCATTCCCCTCCCTGCCATGGGCAGGGACACCTTTCACTAGCCCAGGTTGCTCCAGGCCCCGTCCAGTACCCCGGCTCACCGTGGCTGAGCCTGCTTTGACACCCAACACATGGCAGGAGGTTCCTTCCAGGTGGCACATTTTGTGGGCAAAGCAAGAGGTTCCAGCAAAATCTTACTGATATTACCTACAGTGAGAGCTGCTTGATGTGGAGCAGCGCCGAGCCCGCTGCCGGCCGGGACCAATCCTCGGGGAAAAATGGACAGTTTCCCCCAGGAATTTTCAGTAAACAAAGAACCAACATGGCAGAACAGCAAGATGTAGTTCTGAGGAAACAACTTGTAGGTTTACAGGATACATTACAAATTTCCGAGCGAACAGGAAGGACAAGGTCTCTCAGTCGGGGATTAGCGGTGGAAAAGTCGTGATACGCGGCAGGGAAAGGGGAAAAGTCGGGATTGCTGGAGAATCTGAGGCAGACACCGTGTGCTGCATTAGAGTCAAAAGGTCCCATGCAGAAAACATCCAGCTGGGAGCATTACAGTGCCGTTGACTGGGAGGGGAAGCGCTGCTCCAGCTCCTCCACAACACAGCTCAAGTTCCCGTTCTGCTGGTTGTGCTCGGCCGCGGGTTCCGGAGTCGGCAGCTCCGGGGGCGTGGCCGCTTTGAGCCTGGAGACGTGCTTGGGCAGCAGGTGGTTCTTGTCTATTTGGCTGTACATGTTGGCCACCGACTTCTCGATGGCAGCTAAATTCTGAATGTTCTTAAGAATCCCTTTGAGCTCCCGGCGAGGGGGAGGCTCTGGCACTGCGGCCGGCGGGGGGACAGCTGGCTGTTTGGCAGGGGAGCTGGGAGGCTTGGCAGGGGACAGCAGCCGGGGGCTAAGAGGGGGTGAAGAAGAAGAAGAAATAGAAGAAGGAAGAGAAACTGCGAGCGGAGGAGGAGGAGGAGGATGTGGTGGCAACAGAGGAGGGGATGGAGGAGGCGGTGGCAGTGGAGGTGGCAGCTGTGGCGGGGGGGGTGGGGGAATTTTA